TTTACAAATAACTCATATTTCTCGAATTCTTCGTCAATTTATCACTTTCTGCACCCATTGTATTTACAGATCATTCGAAAAGACGGAATAAGTTTGCCTGCATATTGTTTGAAAATCATTAGAGAAACAGATTCCACCACCAAATCTCGTGTAATACGATATTTATCCACTCTCGACAGTCAAATTTTAAATATTTAAAACGCTCGGCGAGCCTCGCGTTTTAAATTTGAAAATTTAACTGTCTCGAGTGGATAAGTATCGTATCACACTCGATGCAGTGGTAGAATCTATATTTCACTAATTCTTCGTCAATTTTATCCCTTTCTGCACCCATTGTATAAAAAAAATATAATCAACGTGTGGTTCGTTTGATCTCAGTTCTTCATTGGTTAAAATCCGATTATGACGTCGAATTTTCTTGCTTTCCTCTAAATTTCCAATTGTGACGGCATGAAAAAAGGCGACCATGCCTGATGACGTCACATAGAAAGAACACATCTTTTTGCAGATCATTCGAAAAGAAGGAATAAATTTGCCTGCGTATTGTTTGAAAATCATCAGAAAGCATTAATATTTTGCAAGGGGTAAGTCAAGGTGCAAAATTATCATCTCTATTGTACAAACGGTATAATAACACCATTCTCAATGCAATATCCACCAGCGATTTAGGCGCAAAGATAGGCAACATACATGTAGGCTCACCAACATGCGCGGACGATATCGCTTTACTGGGAGAACAATCCGATATACAAGCAATGCTAGGCATTATAGAATTTCACCCCAAAGGGACATGGTTAAAATCAACCCAGATAAATCCGAAATTATGTATGTCTCTAAAGGATCAAAACAACAATTCCAAACTTCAACGGAAAAGAAATAAAAAGAGTAGAAAAATTGAAACATCTAGGTATCACTAGAGCTACAAATGGCAAAGTCAACTTGGATGAAAGACTTAAAACAGGGTGACAAACTATATATGCCTTGCTAGGTTCTGGTCTACATGCAAGAACAGGAATGTCATCCATAGTGCTTAAAAAAGTATGGAAAACCTACGCTGTCCCACGTTATCTTTATGGGCTCGAGGTTCAAATATGCACAAAAAAGGATATATCTGAACTGGAAAAATTACAAAGGAAGATATTTAAACAATTCCAATGTCTACCAGAAAGAACAGCATCCGCATCAGTATATATACTAATAGGAGCTGAGCCCATTGAGTCGATTTTAGACAAAAACATGCTAGAACTATTTCTCTCAATCTCTCGCCTGGATAGCTCGATAGAACGTAAAATATTAGAATGGGAATTGGAAATTAGTTCAAATTTTGACAACTCTTTTATTTGTCGTATAAATAAAATTTTGCAAAAATATCAATTGCCAAAAGCAGAAGAAATTATGGAACATCCTCCATCAAAATATATGTGGAAAAAACAATTGAAAACATCAATAAATGAATACTGGTCTTCAATTTGGACAATAGAATGTAACACAAAATCAACACTTAAACATTTATCTCTTCAAAAAAATCCGGTCAATAATCAGGTTAACATTTGGAAATGTGTTAGAAATAACCAATATGACATAAAAAAGGCAGAATTCAAATGTAAGCTAGTAACTGGTACCTACATGCTCCAAAGTACTAGGGCAAAATTTAGTAAAAATGCTATTCAACCAAATTGCAAGCTATGCAATGAATCTGAAGAAACCTTGGAACATTTCCTACTACATTGCTTAAGTCTATCTGATGTTAGGCAGCGATATATGGATAAATTATTCAAAATGCTACGAGAAATAGAAAGGGGTGGTACAACAAATGTTATTAATAATGAACTATTACTCAAAATTATATTAGACTGCTCAGCACTAGACATAATGAGTAATCAACCAATAGACAAGTTGCTAGATATAGAAAGGAAGACACAAGATTTATGCTACCGTTTACACATGAAGCGTACACAACTTTTATGTGATATCAAGTGACATGAAAATATAACAGTAATATTAAATATAGTCTGAACAGTCTGCATGGGATGCCAAGCTAACTGGTTCAGTCTATAAATATCAGCATAAAAGATAATGCTATATAATTTTAACATTTGCCTTGGCAGGGCACCTATTGAATAGAAATCATTAGGTTGTAAAAATTTTTTATTTATTCATATTGGTGAATCAAAGTGCCGTAATTTGTGATGTGTGAATAATATTTTTTTGTTTTTTTGTTTTAATATCTTTTAATATATGATTTTTATATCATCGAAGACATTATAAACTTTTATTTTATTCACTTTAACTAACTAACTTTATTTTAAAATTATATTTTTCATATCGTAAATATAAAAATATCCGCTTTTTCGGTTAAGTATTTAAAATTCTAATACTCATTCGATAAGTGGAGTGCTCCGATAAAACGGAGGAATATACCAGAACAGAACAGAACAGCATTCAAAAATGAAGAAATTTGTCTATCCTGTTACTATGAACAGTAAATTAATTGTTGCTATGATAACAGTAACAGGATAGACAATAGTAGACAGACTTGTCTTTAAAAAGTTTATAATAACTTATAGTTGTACACATAATGAAATGTTTCGTTGTTTGAACTCATCTAAAGGTTATAACGTCTTAATCTTCGCAATTTGGCATTTGCAGGTGCAATACTGCTATCGGTAACAGGATAGACAAAAAGGTAACAGGATAGAACTTAATATAGTGATATATCATTAACGTACGTTCCTGTTACCAATAAAATAAAGACAAAAGTAAACCAACGTCCGAGGGATTTACTTGATAATAAAATTGAGAATGGAAATGGGGAATGTGTCAAAGAGACAACAACCCGACCATAGAACAGACAACAGCAGAAGGTCACCAACAGGTCTTCAATGCAGCGAGAAATTCCCGCACCCGGAGGCGTCCTTCAGCTGGCCCCTAAACAAATATATATACTAGTTCAGTGATAATGAACGACATACTAAACTCCAAATTGTACACAAGAAACTAAAATTAAAAATAATACAAGACTAACAAAGGCTAGAGGCTCCTGACTTGGGACAGGCGCAAAAATGCGGTGGGGTTAAACATGTTTATGAGATCTCAACCCTCCCCCTATACCTCTAGCCAATGTAGAAAAGTAAACGTTGATGTTGGGTTTATTTGAAAGAGAGAAAAATGCTGAACATTATGAATTTCTATCTTAGACTTGCTTTACTGGTGGTTATTTTTATAACCCTTGAAAACCAATTTTTAGAGGCATTTTTCAGTACAACATGGTAAATTGGCAAATCATCTATTATTTCACAGAACGAATATATATAGAAGTTTTTACTCTTGGAAACTATCTTATTGGCTACAAAAAACAAGCTTAAAATTTTATCGAAATGATTTCTAAATAACCGGCCGAAATTTGTTTTGAACATGGAAACAGGAGAGACAAAATATTGCACCACCTTAGTCTTTTTTATCCTATCAAAAAATGTTTCAATATATTCTTGTATGACATTATCAAGATTGCATCTTTTTATATGTTGTTCTATAAGTACTAATAAAATTGAGAATGGGAATGGGGAATGTGTCAAAGAGACAACAACCCGACCAAGGAGCAAAACTGTTTGTTTTTATTTGCTTATGACGAGGGTTGTTTGAATAAGTAACTTTAAATCAATTTTACAATTTAAAAATTCGACATTTTTTTAAAATGACCCATATATCTCTGCTATGTAAGGTCTATTATTTATAATATTCATTATTGCAAAACAAGCAAAAACCAATTTTGGTTATAGCAATACAGAGACAAAACAAACATAAGAAAAATTCAATAACTGCATCATTTATGGTTTAAGGAGAACTTGGGAGGTTTCCACTCGAAATTCGGGTCAAATTGAGGATGATTCTTTTTTTGGAGTAAATTAGTATTAAATGAAAATAAACTTAGCAGTACATTATACAAGTTAATGCTATGTTTAAAAAAAGCAATCATGGAGTGAATTTCAAGTGGATAAGCCACAAAGAATCTATAGTTAATGAGTAAGGCATGAACTTTTTTTTTAAACCAGTTTGCTGTATACGAAAAGGCTTTAGTAAAACAAATTTTGTGTGACCAGTTTATACAAAAATGGTACAGTGACTTGCACACCACATCGCGTGGACAATTTTATTCACTTTACAAAAAGAGTTTTGAAATAGAAAGATATCTTATTAGTTTACCAGAGTCTTTTGAATTTGGATTTCAAAATTTAGAACTGCAAATTTACGATTGCCTATAGAAACTGGTAGATGGTACAATATACCAAAATTAGAAAGAATGTGTAATTTATGCAAAGAGGATATTGGTGATGAATATCATGTATTATTTATTTGTAAAAATGAAGATATAGTAGAATTGAGAAACAGATATTTACTACAATATTATAGAAATAATCCAAACATTGTAAAAATTGAAGGTCTTTTGTCACTTTGCAGTATTGAACTATATAAGAAATTGTCAGTGTTTATCAGAAAACTGTCTTCTCAGATTTAAAATTTATTTGTATTAATATAGTAAATTGAAGTTCAAAGTGAGAAGTTGTACTGTCATATTTATTTGTATTTAATCACATGTTCATATTTGTCATATGACATATCCAATGATGTGTTTAATTGTTATCAATAATGACCTCTTGTTACACTTTGTAATGTATATGTGTCTGAGTGTTTTCCTAATAAATCTTGAAATCTTGAAATCTTCATTTTTGTCTGCTTTGTAAGCTCTATTATTTATTTCAAAACAAACAAAAACCAATTTTAGTTTTTAGCAATACAGAGACAAAACAAACAGCAGAAAAACTCAGTAAGGAAAATATACATGTTAAAAACAGTTATAAGTCTCCTTTCCTCAGTTCTAATGACTCTTTATATACTTTCAGTTTACAACAATCAAAAAACTTGACATTTAAAAAAATATTTGCGAACATATTTAAAACTGAAACAGTGCACAGTATCATACATGTATTATAATTACTAACCTCCAGATAAAAATACGACAAAAAGTGCCACGAACGTCAGCATTGTGTCTTCTTTTGTCGCTGTAAGATAAGTTTATTCATTAATGAAATGCACATTTATACCGCGAAGGGTTGACGGCATAAGGATGAAGATGATGATGAATGGCTGCCTAACGTCCAGCGGCAAATTAATGTGCATATTCAGGACAAGATTAAGAACATGTTTATGTTATGTATACTCCTTATCGCTATTTGGAAATCTGCTCCGGTTGACATGTCGCCTTACTCGGACACATTATTCTAACTCCGAGCCGACCAGTCTTTCAGTTTGCTCTTACTCCTTAATGCCGCGTGCTTAGCAGAGAAGCAGCAAATACCAATTTTCAAGTATTTGGTTTGGCTCGGTAGGTGTTCAAACCCACGACCTCCCGCACTCGAGGCGTGCACGCTACCATGAGCGGACTATGCGGTATAGACTATGGGTTTTACTCATTGTTGAAGGCCGTACCGTGACTTATTAAAGTTGTTATTTTCTGTGTCATTTGGTTTCTTGTGGAATGTTGTCTTGGGACGACCATTTGATTTTCTCGGAGGGGAATGGACAGGAGGATTTTTAAAAAGAGCTGAAAATAAATAACCTTGCACAAGACGGATGGAAATTAATATTCTGCTTCAAAAAATGTAGGAAAACTCCAATACAATTGTGTACAAAAGTGTAAAAAATAAGCATGCGAAGCAACACTCACTAACAGATGAAAATGGTCCGTAAAAAAATATCGTTCCCACCGAGAGAAAAAAAACAAACTTATTACCGAATAAATGTGTTATTATATGAAAAAAAATGAAGATGAATGTTGCGCTGTAAGCCATTGGGTTTGTATTAGCGAGCAGTCTTACAAAACTTACTTTGAAGATATTGTGTTGTGCAAACCCTTTCTATTTGTATCCAAAGTGACGTCACGCTAAGCGTTGTGCAAAAGGGTTATTCCTCTGACGTCACAAGGGTAGTCTTAAAATGGGGCCTCTGCAGTTGGAAAGCAGGTCACGGTTTGACCCCAAGTCTATCAGCAACAATAGAGTCACGTGACCGTGAAAATTCAGTAAAACTACGAATGAGACAAACCCCACTTTTACTCATTAAAATACCATTGTCATGGTAAAAACTTATTGATCAAAATAATCTTGAATATACATAGAAAATTGTCAAGGCTCCTGATCGAAAAATCTAAATATTTTCGAGGAAACTAAAAATGATGGGCTGAATTTAAATTTAATAAAGCATCTCATTAAGGCGAAGTGTACGTAATCAACTACTCCACAGATTTTTTTAAAATTTTACATGTGGATTTTGCTTGTAAAAATACATCAGAAAATAAAATAAAAAAAGGGGGTAACCGTTTTCGTTTTTCAGATACAAGCTGTTGAAATTAACAGCATGATACGCCAAAAATACAAAGGATATATAGGGAAAATCATAAAAATCGGCAGATATTTTTACTTTATCAAGATTTTCTAATTCGTTGGTCCACAGAATTTTTTTAAAAATCGAAATGTGATTCAAAAATGAACGATGAATCCATTGGTGCAAAGAAAGTCCTTAGCAATCGTACTAGTTTTCAAGCTACAAATGTATATCGTCTGGAAGTTTCATTTTTAGCGGAAAAAATAAAAAAAATATTCGGCGACGTTATTGATGTCTACTGTAACGTCGTCATAAATTCTACTCTATAACGCTATTATACCGTACAGTGTCGTAACAAAAATCGTGTGTATAACCCATTTTCCTAATTTTTGCAAATGCTCAAGCGTAATCGAATTGATAAAGAAATAAACTGACTAAATTTTAAGGATATTTCTGCTGCCAAAAAAAAATTAAAATTGGCAAATAAATATACTGCAAGTGAAATAAAATTACTTTATAGGCTCCATCTTTTCTAAATAAGACAGGGTTCCACATCTTTTTGGCAATGTTTGTATTGTTCTAATAATCATGAATCAAATATCGAGTTGGAAATTGTCCCGGTTAGCACAGCATTGACAGAATGATTCAATAGATAGAAAATAAAAGGATAGGGAGTAAATGTACATGGGACAAAATCGCACACAATGTATAGAAAAAAATAAAAGAATTATCATTGAACAGGGCTTTTATTCCTGTTCTACATCTTGGCAGTTGATGTAGGGTCTTCACAATAAACGAATCATTCATACCATACAACAAGGTCAAGACGGCCCCTAACGTCGACTTATGCTTTACTATTGATAAAAATAAACCACAGTTCACCATCTTGCTCCCCACCCGCCTCTGAGTGCCAACTTGTGCGATGCTTGTGTACGACGGTTCTCCAGTCGAAAGCACAAGAGATACAAGAAAAGTGCAGTAATTTTGAAAGACATCGATCGCCGCTAAAATATGCTTTGAAGTTACACATGTCGGGAGCGGTCAATGAATTAAATTATTTATATTTACGGGCGAGGTTTTTCAACTATTTGTCATACATTGCCCAAAAAAAGACCAATATATTCGAAACAAAAAATGATAGACAATACATATAAAACTAAACAACAAATGATAGACAGCACGGGACACATCGAAATATATGTAAGAAAACCTAAAAAAATATATATATATTAAAAAAATCGGTTATAATATTGAGGTCGCGTATAGAAGTCTTTTTTTAAATCTTATTTCTGGATGTTCGTATTTGAAAGAAGTAAATATAATTTTCTGCATCTTTTAATCCTCACCATTTCCGGTGCTATTGAGGTATTGCGTTCAAAACCCATTATTTTTGTCAGGTTCACACACGTGCACGTGACACAACTCTGCAATTTTATTTTAAAAGTTCCTGTCTCAATCGCTTTCCCTTTTTCTTTAACTACACGACAAAGCATGATGTAATGTTTGATGGAGTTTCAGTAACAAAGGAAATAATTTCTTGTCCCTTTTTGTTAAATATCAACATGTACGACTCCCAAAAAATAAGAAAACTGCATCTGAATATTATCTTGAGAATTTGTATGGCTGTAATAAGGTCAAAAGAAGAACCCGCATATGAATTTCACCCAAATAAAACAGATCGGAGTTTTTTTTATATAACTTCCCGTAGCACAGATCATTCCCAATGTTATACCTTAGCATTGTGTATATTGTAATGCAGCTATAGCATTGTATAGTGTAATTCTAAATTTTGTGTATAGTGATATGCTATAAATGTACTGATGTAATGCTATTAATTTACGGATGTAATGCATGTACAAGGGCGATGTTATGAGATGTAATGCAAGGTGATTGTTCATAATGCAATGCTATACGAGTTTAACTTGTGTATAGTGCCATTCAAGTTTTTTTTTATATCATATAAGAATAAGGAGATGTGGTATGATTGCAAAAGAGACAACTATCGGTAAATCAGATGGGTTTTTTTTCTGTGAGTCCGTTCTGGTCATGGTTCAAATTCTCTTTTGTTTTAAAAATATTTTACCAAATATCATTCAATATACAACAAAATACCTAAAACTTGAAATTTAAAGACTGAATCATCGACAAATTTAGTGTCGTAAAGTATATTAAACATATTGTTGGGAATTTTTTCAAGAAAGTAAGGCCCGTGACCCCTATTACTTAAAAGTTTCCCCTATACAAACAAAATGAAATACCCCAAACTTCGTTAATTTCAATGTATTATGACGGAAAAATAAGGTCCGTGATCCCAAGTCTTTATATTGAAATTTGAAATTACATTGACTGAAAAGTCTTTTACAGAAGTTTACGAATAATCTATCGTCGAACATTTAGACACCCCAGCTACCTTACTGAATGAAGTGGATGTAAGCAATTATTAGATAGGCAACCATACAGCCTTCAACAATAAGAAAAATCCATACCGTAGTCTGTTATAAAAGGCCCCGACATTGTAACATTATTTTCTTCGCCCTTCCCCCTTCTTATACTCTATTCTATCATAATCTTCAATTGAGACTTGAGAAGAAAAATTATACTTCAAAATTGTATTCACTTCTTCTGAATGATACCTTAAAGCACAACAAAAGAATACAAATTTTGCAATCCCTTCCAAATTAGAATTTGATAAAGTAAAAACAACATGTTCTATTTTTATCATACATGCGTAGTTTCAGTTTCAACCATGGTTCTAAATTTAGATTCTATTTTCCCCAAAAATTGCGGACGGAATAGAAGACACCTGTTTATTTTCTGCACATTGAGAACTGAGATTTGGATGACATAGATTTTACTTATCCGAGATAAATGTGATAGTGCTCATTTCTAAGTTTCTGTGTAATCTTTTGTGGATGGAATCTGATTGTCTTTTTTGGCTATGTTTTTCGACTTATAAATGTTATAAGGACTTATAAATGTTGCACTATAGTGCCGTAGTGGTCGATAACCCCTTTGTATCTTTTATACTTTTAACATAAATGAAATCATCCTAAAATTTTCAATTTGCATAAAAAACGGGACATGCCAACGTCTTTCTAGTTCAACACACAAATTCACATGCAATATAATTATTCGTTACCTACAATTTTACGCTACACTGTGAATATCATTAAAAACTATTGTTTTTCAAAAAATATTGTGGGGTCAATTTTGGTTTGATTTTAACGAGTTTGATACGACTAGAAGCAGAACTGTCACTGGTTTATTTGGTTATAATTTTGTTGTTTAGGCGTTTTTACTTTCTGTTTAAATAAACACCGAGTCGTATACACCTTATCGCTATTTGTCCGCCATTACTGGACATCACACAGGTTCCCGTAAAATTTTGACGTCACAATACAAAATATCTGACGCCACAATGGAAAAGTAATTGTTGTATGACGTCAAAAGTTCAAGCGGGACAGATTCTCGGGTCAGCCGGGAATAGCGATAAGGTGTATTGTGTACCTGTTCCTGCCTGTCTAAAACAAAAACAGTGGCAATAGAGTCAGAACAAGAGGATACTCAGATTTCTGATTGAAGATGTTGGAGTCATTCTGATAAGTTTTGAGATGGCACAGAAATACTTGTCTTGATTCATGATAGACCACACGAAGTCATTTGTCTTTCATGTGCCCATTTTTCCTTTCTTTGAGTAGGGGAGATAACTCGCGTAACTAACGACGCACGTTGTTTATCCCAAATTCCGCTATAGGCGTGCAATTACGTATACTTCGCCTTAAGACAAACACTCGATATGAATATCTTCAGATAGGCAATACAGTTTTGGATACGCAAACGTCAAGTTATGTTCCACACGAAGCGGTGTTTTTTTTTTTGCCGATTTGTGCAAGTGGTTATCTCCCCTTGATATCACCAGTCAAAAATAAAAACCCACCAAAATGAATAAAAAGGAGTTTATTTTACAAAAATCAAGAAGAAAATAAATGAAAGTCGATTAACAACTATGTTATTATAATATTAAGAAGAGATACTTCCCTACTTTTCAGAGAAGGATTACAGGTAAAAATTAAAAGATAAAAAATTGGTAAAAAATAGATCTAGAAACCTAGCTGAATTGATATGAATTAGCTCTAGCTGATGAAATTTACTTTCAGTTTGTAATTTTTATAATGGGATATGGGATCACTCCTAATGGATTTTTTTTTAATTACTTCTAACAATATTTAATGCAATAAAACATACTGAATACAATTTAAATAATCTTTAATAAAGTGGGACCAAGAGTCACAATTTAATTTCTTCAAAGTAAAAAAGCCTTTAAAGACCAAACAGCCTATTCAGTTCAACCAGTGATTTTTCCTTAAAATTTTGTGTGAATGTATTTCATGATTTGAGGAACAAAATATGATGAAAAAAATTGGGGGTCACCGACTTAGTTTTGTAACTATAGCAACCTCAGTTTTGTGTCTTCCCGAATATTAACATGATATTTGCTTGTTATTTAAACTCTCAAAAATCCCTTTATATCAAACCTACAAGCATAATTCTTG